TTTGTTCCCGTGCACAATGTACCGCTGTTTGACGTAGACGATTCATCGTCCTTATTAGTGCAATTTTAGGGAGTTCAGCAGTGGTGAGGATATTATTTGCCAGCTCTGTTAGGGAGTTCAGCAGTGGTGAGGATATTATTTGCCAGCTCTGTTAGGGAGTTCAGCAGTGGTGAGGATATTGTTTGCCAGCTCTGTTAGGGAGTTCAGCAGTGGTGAGGATATTATTTGCCAGCTCTGTTAGGGAGTTCAGCAGTGGTGAGGATATTATTTGCCAGCTCTGTTAGGGAGTTCAGCAGTGGTGAGGATATTATTTGTCAGCTCTGTTAGGAAGTTCAGCAGTGGTGAGGATATTATTTGCCAGCTCTGTTAGGGAGTTCAGCAGTGGTGAGGATATTATTTGCCAGCTCTGTTAGGGAGTTCAGCAGTGGTGAGGATATTATTTGCCAGCTCTGTTAGGGAGTTCAGCAGTGGTGAGGATATTATTTGCCAGCTCTGTTAGTGAGTTCAGCAGTGGTGAGGATATTATTTGCCAGCTCTGTTAGGGAGTTCAGCAGTGGTGAGGATATTATTTGCCAGCTCTGTTAGGGAGTTCAGCAGTGGTGAGGATATTATTTGTCAGCTCTGTTAGGGAGTTCAGCAGTGGTGAGGATATTATTTGCCAGCTCTGTTAGGGAGTTCAGCAGTGGTGAGGATATTATTTAACAGCTCTGTTAGGGAGTTTAGCAGTGGTGAGGATATTATTTGCCAGCTCTGTTAGGGAGTTCAGCAGTGGTGAGGATATTATTTGCCAGCTCTGTTAGGGAGTTCAGCAGTGGTGAGGATATTATTTGCCAGCTCTGTTAGGGAGTTCAGCAGTGGTGAGGATATTATTTGTCAGCTCTGTTAGGGAGTTTAGCAGTGGTGAGGATATTATTTGCCAGCTCTGTTAGGGAGTTCAGCAGTGGTGAGGATATTATTTGTCAGCTCTGTTAGGGAGTTCAGCAGTGGTGAGGATATTATTTGCCAGCTCTGTTAGGGAGTTCAGCAGTGGTGAGGATATTATTTGCCAGCTCTGTTAGGGAGTTCAGCAGTGGTGAGGATATTATTTGTCAGCTCTGTTAGGGAGTTCAGCAGTGGTGAGGATATTATTTGCCAGCTCTGTTAGTGAGTTCAGCAGTGGTGAGGATATTATTTAACAGCTCTGTTAGGGAGTTTAGCAGTGGTGAGGATATTATTTGCCAGCTCTGTTAGGGAGTTCAGCAGTGGTGAGGATATTATTTGCCAGCTCTGTTAGGGAGTTCAGCAGTGGTGAGGATATTATTTGCCAGCTCTGTTAGGGAGTTCAGCAGTGGTGAGGATATTGTTTGCCAGCTCTGTTAGGGAGTTCAGCAGTGGTGAGGATATTATTTGCCAGCTCTGTTAGGGAGTTCAGCAGTGGTGAGGATATTATTTGCCAGCTCTGTTAGGGAGTTCAGCAGTGGTGAGGATATTATTTGTCAGCTCTGTTAGGAAGTTCAGCAGTGGTGAGGATATTATTTGCCAGCTCTGTTAGGGAGTTCAGCAGTGGTGAGGATATTATTTGCCAGCTCTGTTAGGGAGTTCAGCAGTGGTGAGGATATTATTTGCCAGCTCTGTTAGGGAGTTCAGCAGTGGTGAGGATATTATTTGCCAGCTCTGTTAGGGAGTTTAGCAGTGGTGAGGATATTATTTGCCAGCTCTGTTAGGGAGTTCAGCAGTGGTGAGGATATTATTTGCCAGCTCTGTTAGGGAGTTCAGCAGTGGTGAGGATATTATTTGCCAGCTCTGTTAGGGAATTCAGCAGTGGTGAGGATATTATTTGCCAGCTCTGTTAGTGAGTTCAGCAGTGGTGAGGATATTATTTGCCAGCTCTGTTAGGGAGTTTAGCAGTGGTGAGGATATTATTTGCCAGCTCTGTTAGGGAGTTCAGCAGTGGTGAGGATATTATTTGCCAGCTCTGTTAGGGAGTTCAGCAGTGGTGAGGATATTATTTGCCAGCTCTGTTAGTGAGTTCAGCAGTGGTGAGGATATTATTTGCCAGCTCTGTTAGGGAGTTTAGCAGTGGTGAGGATATTATTTGCCAGCTCTGTTAGGGAGTTCAGCAGTGGTGAGCATATTATTTGCCAGCTCTGTTAGGGAGTTCAGCAGTGGTGAGGGTATTATTTGCCAGCTCGGTTAGGGAATTCAGCAGTGGTGTTATTTGCAAAATAGATTGCTTATGGCTTGTTTCTTCATTTGAGTTCGCGAAAATTCATGGCTTGAAGACAAGTGACCGCGAAAATAGCTGGTTAAACAGTATACAAACGATGTAAACGAATAGAAGTTGGCGATGTGTGCCAGTAGGCTGTACCCATTCTTTTATTCTCATGGACGAACAACTGTTTACTCATTGTGTGAGACCTTTTGTTAATCCTACGCTTGTGCTAAAGGTATAATTATTGTTTTATAATGCTTGGACACGAAGGGAAACACACAACTTGAAACACAAAACTTGAAATCTTCGTAAAACTACATCATTAGAGCCTCAAATTATTTGTTATATAGTAGTGTTAAAAGTATTAAAACTTAAAATTATTTTTTTAATACACTAATATTTATATTAGATACATGATACATATTATTATATTCTAACCCGTATTCTCGAAACAATATAATAATGTAGTGGCCTTTGATGTACCTCATTAAAAATCAAGATTCGATTCTGCAAATTTGTTCTGTATACCAATCAGCTAAATTTTGTTGCGTTTACCCAACCCGAGACCGAAAGAGCTACTGTCGCGTCAGACTATAAATTGCATTTCAGTTTGTATTGATCCATACATTTTACGAAGGAGCATGTTGATCAAGTGAATGTGAGATCGAAAGTTATTACCTTGTTCTTCTGAGATGACCCGTTACTCGTAGTGAAATATGTATATTAATTTTATTGATATTTTTAAACTGTTTTTCGGGGTTTGAAAATATTGATAGTTCAATGTAAATCATATTAACTACGGTATAAGTTATATTAACTTTAAGCATTTGAAATTCTCTATAACCCTGTGCGTTTTTAGACGAGAAGTGCGCTTATAAACAAAAATTAAAACCAAATTGTGTGCTTTTACAACTTTATCACTAGTTCATCATTTAGGACGGTGTTTGGTTCCGCCCTCGTGTCCATGTTAAAGTTAGTATCATGCCGCCCTCGTGTCCACCCTTTTGGCAAAGTACCGCCCTCGTGTCCTCCAATCTTGTGTCTACCGCCCTTGTGTCCTGTTCCCGATAAATTACCCTTGCATTTCAAGATACATTCTCAGAGGGTTCATTCATTGAAATAAAATTCAAAACGGAATTGTATCTTATGCTGTTAATTACCGTTCTCATATATTATCCGCAATATTTTTACCATTTCCCCGATCCGTCAGTAATTTTATACATAACATGAATATTTTGTTAAGAGAGTAAGAGAACACTAGCGACCTAATTTGTCACTCTCCTTCCCGGTCCGACTAAATCCGTCTAACCGGAAAAAAAGTTGATGTCTGTCCGGTTCCGGTCCGGCAGCCCAAATCCAAGACCGGTTGGACTCCGTCACATCGTTTTAATGGTTAATGTTGAAAAAGTTAATGTGTGCCTTCCTCAGTCCGCATGGGAGCGGTGCCTGTTTTTGAATTGGACCTTTTATCGATGAAAAGTTCTAATTCAATAACAGGGTTTACCCTGGTTATATGAGATAAGCTGGTTCTCGTTGCTTGCTACAAAAAGCACGCACGTCAACTTATCTAATCGTCCTTCTTCAATATTGAATTTGATATACGCGTTTGTAACGTATATAACGTTTTATTTAACGTTTTATATAACGTTGTATATAACGTTTGTACTCTCCCGAGCCTTCTAAACTAATTAGCTATTCAGCTTGGCAAGGTATTTGCTCGACAATAATTGATCGCTTTTAATCACTGTACTTCTGTCTGATTTTTAAAGTGTTGCTTTCGTTAGGTAAATCATCGTGTAGCCTTTTTGAAATCAATTTGAAGCTTGAGAGAGTGATTCATATAGACACCCTCTAGGCCGCTCTAGGTGAAGTTATACGTGTTAACAAAATACTTTTTTGAGTGCCCACAAGAGACTGTGAAAGTGAAGAGTTCTTTCTTGAATAACTCTTATTAGAGTTCTCTGACTGTCTCTTCGGTATCACTATTATCAACTTTGTCAGCAGTATGTTTCTTCTACGATTTTCATCCCAAGATACACATTTTTAAAACTTTCAAAAACATTTATATGCTTATAATATAAAAATATCAAAACTTAGTGCTATCTTCTACTGTTAGAGACCATTTAAATACAAAAATTACGTCAGTTTTCTGACCTCCTAATATTGTGTAAAAATAACATGAACGTCAGTATTTCAAACTATTTTGAAACCGCTCTCCTCTAAAACTACGTGTAAAACGAAAACTAAGAGTCAGATAAATTAATGTTTTGAACAATTTTTTAAACATTTCAGTGTTTTACCTGCCTATTAAATGAGATAACAGAGTCTGGTCAGGCGATATATCCTGTTTCTATAAGAAACCCGTCACGGAGATAAGAATTTATATCTCATGTGAAGTAATTATCATGGTGACGGTGATTAATCTCCTCATTTATTTCCCGAATGGTCTGATTTGCCGCGCACATTTATTATGACACCAATTTGTTGTGAAGCAGCGTTTGTATTGTCATGTTTCTGTGGTGTTGGTCGTGTGGGCTGTTACTGTTTTGAGACTGACTCATTTCCTGTTTTATATTTGGATATTTGTTGGCAGGTGATTCACGTCTGTTAATATCCACATTTATTTGTACGTCTTAATTCATACATGATTAATATTTTAGTATAATGAAAACCATAATGTCCGACGTATTTATTGTCCGTGTATCCAAATTAACAAAATCATTGTTTGAGCTTTTCATTTCATTACACATTTAACTATAGTATGGACAGTTTAATTAAATTGATTAACTTCATGACTTATCTAACTAGGGCGTAAAGGAAAATCGCAATAATGTCAATGTTCTGGGAGGCATTCAAAGTTGGTGATTTTGACTACCTGCTACAATGGATGAAGCACAACTGGACACTTTCTATCTACATATCACTCGTATACGTTATCCTTATCTTCTGGGGCCAGGTATTTATTATATCTAATTCTTCTTTTTATTTTTGATTTGATATTGATTTGAAAGGCATCACTACCATGCCATGTACGGTTACCCTAGGAGGCGACCAAATAACTGGCATGGTGGAATATTTTTTATCAGGTAGCATGGAAACTGGAAATCTAATTTATCATGAAATCTAATTTCCACAATTTTATTCAATGTAAAATATAATAATTTTGAAAGTTTAGTGTTAACAAAATTAACCATTCAAATGCCGCTGTGGATGATGAGCGTGCAACAGCGACACAATTGACAATTGCCGTTCTTAATTGAATTTTCATTGTAAATGTAAACAGACAGTGGGTAGGATGAATTACTTGCACATTACATGGTACGCACAATCACCACATGCTCACAGTCTGTACCAGTGCCAACTGCAGACACAATTATAAATGACCTGGCTTCATTTGCAGTGATATTCCTTATGGAATGTTTACATTTTTATTCTATATCCTTTAAAAAGATATTCTTAATTGGATTTACAGAGTTTCCAAATACAACAAGATATATTTAGAATTAGTTATAATGTTAACACATAATATAATTTCAGTCATACATGAAGACCAGAACGCCTTTCAAATTGCGCCCTCAATTGTTTATTTGGTCACTTGCCCTCGCCCTCTTCAGCATATGGGGTGCTTACAGAACATTCGGCGGAATATTAAGCGATGCCCAAGAGTGAGTATTTAGCTTTTATCAGTTCAAATGTAAATGTGTAAAATTACCTTGACAAAACAGGACAGATTTTTTATGTCCATCACATGTGTTGATAAAATTTAATTGTTGCCATGCCTAAAGTTATTCTCGTTTGAAACGATGTCCTGGCTTCCTTTGTGTTTTCATTTAGAGTTAATTTTCGGATGGCCCTGACGTCACGAAGTGTCACATGAGTTTCATAAGAAATATTTTTCTGTTGTACAATTTTTCTTATCACGCGAAACGTCACAATGCTAATAACTTTAAGACAATTAAAGCATATCAGATAATGAATAAGCAATCTATTAGCGTGACCTATCTTATATTCTGCAGAAATCTTCCCATAATTGCTTACAAAGAAATTATCCAAGCTGAGTAGCAAACTTATGGCAGTTTTGCGTGACATGCTTTCATTCGAGTCATGATACTGTCCACATAAACTAAAAACTTTTGTATATCAGTTGTTGGCTAAATCAAACAACATACACAATTACACACAGTCTATACTAAGCCACATTTAGATCTCACCGCAGGTTACAATAAATGTTACACTGACATGTTATATAATGCACAGTCGTACAACACGGCTCTAACTCTACTCGGATCCAACTTTAGGTCTTAGATACACACACTGTTATATCACATTACTAGCAGAACCTAAGTTACACACTGATATACAACAGACTGTCTACCTACTCTCACGTATTTACTCATGACATTGTCATTTCTCAGGAACGGGTGGCTCTATACAATGTGCTCACTAAGCTATCTCAATGAACAGCCGTCCCAAAATAACTCTCCTCTCTGGGCGTTTCTTTTCATGTTCAGGTTTGCTTTTAAATTTATAATGAGCTGTTCGACGCCGCTTGAAAAATTGGTTGTAATATTGTGATTAATTGTGTATTTTGGCTCCAATCCTGGTACACCTAAATTCCTGGAACCAACACTTCAGGGTTCCATTGTCCGCATGGCTTTAGTTTCCCATTGTTCGCAGATAACAGCAATTCCGTCACAGCAAGTTACATTATCCTTTGTGAAGTCTCGATTTATCTGCTGATCGTCAAATGGACTGGGAAAATTACCACAATTACCACTGTAACTGTGTAACACGGAAGAAAATAAAATGGGCTCATCATGTGCGGCACGCGCGAATGCCGCACGATAAAAGTTTTGATAGTACACTACTTCTGGCGCAGTAAATGCCGCGCGCAGCCTGAATTAACCAACTGAGCTGATTCTAGCGTCGTGGGACCGGCACCTGATCTTCTAAAGTGGAAGTTGAATTACCGGCCCCAGGCATGGGGAAAGCCTTAAATCACGCCAGTTGCATTAAAAAGCCTGATCGTAAACCTTACAGCTCTGAAGTCATAAGGGATTAAGTTACTCGGCTCACTCGCCCACTCGGTTTGAGTATCTCCTCACTGGAAGATGAACACGCTATCGGCTATATAATACTTATTACTGTATTATATTGGAACCAGTACGTGAACTAGCACGCGCTACCACCTCATCTCCTCTAGAAAAGATAGATTATATTCAAGTACCGCAATGCTTTACCTAATATAATCGCCTCAAATGTCAGGTGTTTGACGTATTTCCATGTTTCAGCAAGTTGCCAGAACTGGGAGACACAATCTTTGTGGTCCTGAGAAAACAGAGACTGATATTCCTGCACTGGTATCATCACATCACTGTTTTTGTGTACTGCTGGTACAGCTACGGACACCCTGTTGCAACTGGTTAGTCAAGATATCAATGATGTCTTAGCCCAATGAGTGGCTATTATAAAAGTCTGCTAGGGTAGGACTTTCTTATCACATTCTTTGATGAACAATTGATTGGAATGCTGTTCAAATACTTTAAATAACTCAATTTTCAGGTAGATGGTTCAGCGCGATCAATTACATGGTTCACGCTATCATGTACAGTTACTACGCTATCAGGGCATCCGGCCACAAAACCCCCAAGTTTATCCCAATTTGCATCACAACTGCCCAGATTCTTCAGATGGTCGCCGGTATGTTTATAACATTTCCTATACATTCGCACCAAAATCTTGCAACGAAACAAAACCCCCTAAAGTTTCAGCTGGTTGTCGGACGTCGGTAGATTTGAAGCAATAATAAATGTCAAACATTTGACTCTGTTTTTGTTTACAATCTCCCTAATATTTAATGCCATGCTTACCCAGGTATCTTTGTCAACGTATACGCCCTGAAAATGGTGGTACAGGGCGAGAGTTGTTATGTGGGTACAACCAACATCTACCTCTCCCTCTGCATGTACGGCAGCTACTTCCTTCTCTTCTGCAACTTCTTCATCAACACTTACCTCAGAAAACCAAAGGACAAGGTCAAGGTGCGGTAACATTTTTTGTTTTATGGGCAGTGGAGGAGGAGTTAAAACAGTGGTCTCGTTGACGACTTAAAAGTTTGCTTTTGGAATGAGTTTGCTTTTGGATTATGCTTACTTACAACTTTTACTATTTTTACAACTTTTACTATTCAGGTGGAAGCTGCAGCCAACAAGGACGCCATTAAGCAAGAGGAAATCACCACCTCTTCAACAGTCCGTCACAGAAATGTCGTGCAATAAACCGATATGTTTCTCGGAACTTGAGCCATTTTCTGTTTATCCAAGCTGACATTTCATAGGTTCAATGATCATATTTACTTCATATAAAGTGATAACGCGTATTGAAAGCAGTTTATAAATATTCTCATGTAAATTTGTGATTAGGTTAGTCAACTTTAGACCGTATCGGGTAATTATTGAATTAGGATTCAACAGTACAGCCACTTGTATTGCTGATATGAAAACCAATTTGGTCGTTATTCACCAATTTGGTCATTATCATTATTTCATACTATGATAATAGCATACTTTTGGTAGAATAATATAAAATTGCTAAAATATTTTCGTTAGGTTAAATTTCTTTGAATTTTAGGGAGATTTTGTATTTTCGGCACCATTGTCGCAGAAAATGTTCGTGGTGTAACGAAAAGAATATTTACGCCAAGTGCTCATAGATATAAATGTTGATAAATTTTTAATAAAATGAGGTTTATCTGAATTAATGTAAGCCTTTGAGAATGACTTATTTTGGTGAGGAAATATAGATAGCTCAAAATGTTTATCCGGGAAATAAAATGATCGGATCTCGAAAAATGTCGATGATCCCTTCTCAGCCAAGTGGTCTTCAAGTCTACTATTTATTTGTTAATTTCCATCTAGAAATAATTTGCGTTCAAGTTGAAGTGAACAGGATCAATAATAAAACATGCACTGTCTAATCAAAAATATAAATATAAATTTTTTTATAACTGAAATAATGTCATCGGACTCTCAGCCAAAATCTTTAAAACATTTTGTATTGAAGCGGACGTAATTTGTCCATCAACAAATATAATTCATGTTACATTGTGATTTGATTTTAATTCTTTCTACGGCATGTCATAATCACTTTTTGGAGATCTGAACACCAGATGGTATAGAATGTACCACTGTTGATGGACAAATAACAATACATGTATCTATAAAATAGCAGCTGTCCCTTCGAAAGCTTTTCTTAACTTCATAACATGTATAATTATGGTAGTTTGATTGTTAACTGTACATTAATCGGAATGTTTATCACACAAATCAATGCACGTATGTCGTACATATCTATATATATAGTTTTTGTAGTTTGTGTTTTGTTAGAATATTCAATATCGAATAGGGCAAGATCTCTTCTCGAATCTCGGGGGTATTTATATTTAAAGATGTTTTGTTAGCAAATTATTACACTATCTTAAACTTTGTAAATTAGGAAAAATGTCATCATGCCTGATGCCACCAAGTTCGGTCACTTTATTCGATTTATCATTGTGACTAATATGTGATTGTAGAATGTACATGTGACAATTTGCCATGTTCTCATAATGAAATGATTTTCCTTTGATTTTAATCAACCCATGATACATATTACAGATTATCATGGTCAGCTGATTGTGATGCTCAAAACATTCTCAAATATATAAGTAGCGCGCGCCGATTTTGACATTTCCTCACAGTAACATCCCAACCGAGGTTGGCTACAACGTTTTTTCAAGTCAAGTTCTTAGATATGGTAATGTTTGCACTAGATTGGATATCTTTACCTCCCATCTTCACAAAATATTCAAAATTCTAATTGATAGAGGATATAGCCGTGATAGACTGATTAAAGGCATTAAACGTTGTCTGAGGAAATATGATAACGTTTTCAGGAAGTTCGGTATTCTAGATGACCATAACATTATTAAAGAACTCCCCTGATATCTTTTGATTTTATTGAAACACGGGTACTAACTCTGCTAAACTGAAAAAATTCTGAAACTTAGGTGAATAAGTGTACAACGTGCTAAACCGAAGTTCAGACTGACCAGTGAAAATGGGCGAGCGTACCAAGTGTCATTTTAATTAGAAGTTTTAGTCAGTGATTTATTATTGAAGCTTGTAATTACAATAACTAATGCTCCTATAAATACTTTAATTAATTGTTTGTTCCGTTATTCTTTTTCCTTCCTCTTTTCCTTGTCATCCCTTTTAGTTTTAAGATTCTAGCTATAAATGGCTACAGCTAACACTATTAATGCTAAGTACCAAACAACAAGTGGGAGGTGGATCGTTGGTATACCATTAAACCGATTTAACACCGCAATTCCAGTCGCAAGCCTGGGACCACTACTAGCATAGTCACAACATCTACAAAGCTGCCATATAGCCTGACTGACAATTTTCTCGACTGACTGACAATGTTTCTTCTTTTCCCCATTTAGAATACAAAGATTAGTACATTTTAGCTTATGATTAATATTATATTTTTACCTATAGTTTACCTAGATTGCATATTGCCCGAGACGAAGTCGAAAATAGTCAACATTTTAACTGTTAATCATTAATGCAGTTAGTATAGGGGCTATCTATCTATATTAGTAGAGGCTCTTACGGGCATTGTATGCTCGATACGTTAGGGACCCCAGATACACCTTACTAGACGTATTTTTGACCGTAGAATCGATTGAAAGTGGTTTCAAGATGATTGGACTGATTGTTCTGGGGTAAAATCGCAAAAAACCGATTTTTGGGCCAAAAATAGGCCAAAAAACCATGTTTTTTGATATTTTGAGCAAGTTAATTTTGTTGGCATGTCGGCAAAACTTGCATAAAGATAGCTAAAAGACAGCCGCACAAGATTGTATAAAAATAAAACAAATCCCTCTATTTGTTCTGAGGTAAAAATCCAAAAAAGTGGTAAAAATTTTGACTTTTTTGCTTTAAGTTTGAATAATTTTTTGCTGTTGTATTAAATCAACCCAAAAATAGTCACATCGTGATTGCCTAAATTTTTCCTTTCCGAGAAGTACCCACTTCATATACTTAATCGAAGTTTGAATATTGTCACTCCGCAAGCGTTTTTGCCAAATTTTCGACGCGCACTACGCGCAAAAGCATTTAGTTGTTATCAATTGGCACCCGCGCGTTCATCATAAATTTCAAACAGCTATAACTCAGCGAGATTATGTCCGTTCTAGCTCATATTTTCACACTAAATAGAAAATAATGTGATCTTATTGCTGACAAAATATGGATATAATTACTTTATTTGCCTTAGAGTAATAGACTGTCAAAGTTTAAAACGCGCATTGGTATAGCACGTGACTAATAAGGCCAAATTTATACTTCTTAACATATTATCGATCCTTAGACATCATACTATTGTGTCCAATTAGCGGTTAGGTCTCTAAACTCGTAGCAGAAAACACGTCTTTTTGCCCGTAAGAGCCTCTACTATATTAGGGGTCGTTCACATATTACGTAATCAATATTTTGGCAATTTCCCCCCCCCCCCCCTCCGTAATCAACCTTAATCAAGACTGAACCCCCCTATATGACGTAATCAAGGTTTGACCCCCCCCCCCCCGTAATCAAGACCCAACCCCCTCCTATATTACGTAATCAAGATTAGACACCCCCCCCCCCATTATTGAGTTAAATTTTGATGTAGAGATACAAGAAATACACATTATTCATTGATTCACGATGTCAATCCTTCGCAGCTCAGTGAGGCACAGTGGTGCATCTCGCCGATCTACCGAAGTGGTTGCGAGAAGAATTATTTTATGCGCGGCGCGACCCAGTAGTGCATTGCGCTACAAATTATTCATTGCTGTCTGAGACTTGAGAAGATTTTTGTAATATCTCAATTAATGTTTTACATGTTCATGTTAAGCCATTTATTTATTAAAAGCTATCACAACGGATTAATTAATGAAATAATCGCAAAGCACTCACTAAACGAAAATTGGTTTAAAAAAAGAAAATTTTGATTACATAATTAACGAAAATTGCGCCGGGTTAGCCCATTAACAATGAACAAACCCCGGTGCTGTAATGTTCATTGTAGCGCTTTGTAGGTTTACAACCTGCAGGACGCGCGCCGAGTTGGACTCGTCGACGGTCCTGTATATGGAACAGATATTTTATTGTATCACGTGGTGACCCCCACTGTCGCTTCACTATACAGGGGGAGCCGCGCGGCGGGTCATACAACGTATGACAAATATTTTACGAGTATCACCCGTTAATGTAGCGCTTCACATAGCCATGTGCCTACGCGTACTGCGTGACGCGCTTGTTTCACAAGTAGGATACTCCGGCGGTCGCGCGCTACTGCAAGCGAGAGGGCTCTGGTTAGAGCAAATGTAGCGCTATGCACTACTGGGCCGCGCCGCGCATCTTCTCGCAACCGGACCACGTATGCAGATCGGAGAGATGCGAAGGATTGACATCGTGAATCAATAATGTTCATAAAATAGAAATTCGGCGCATTGGAATGACAGGCTGAGCACCGCCCAGTAATAATGCATCGCGCTACAACTTTACTACAATCTCAAAGCAAACTATGGAAGCGCATGTGTGTCAAAAAAAATAATGATACACATGCGCTTCCTAGGTGAGTAGGTAGCGTATGTGTGTCAAAAATTTGTTTGATACACATCATTTTCAACTTTTTAATAACAATCCCTTTACGCCGCGCCGATATGTGTTTCTGTACTAATTTGCGCTCTTATTTCGCGTTGGATACTTTTACTAGGAGGTGCACGATAAAAATAAACTTGCTCGGATTTTAAAAATTTTTGTACCACTGTTTTCTAGAGACTGTGAGAATTTTCGCAATACCAAATTTGTCATACCTTTTTGGAAAGATCAGTGAGTTTCGCCTATGTGCCATATTTGATGGTGCGCGGCTTTTGGAGCAAAAGTAGCTGTAAAAGTCGCGTAATTTGACCAAATTCGTCCAAATTTGACCATTTTTGTCGTATTATTCGGATATATCTCCAGTTCTTAAATGAGATCATTCTGGAAATTGGCGACGACCTTCCAATAGGGCTTTCACAACTGTCCGAAAAATTTGGTGGATATCGGAGTTGATATAGTGATCAAAATGGGGCAAAATACGCTGCTTTTAGCTGTAACATATTGTCTGATGGTTGGATATACTTTAAATTTTTCGGACACTTTCCTTGTAAGTCTATGAGTAAGCTTACCAATTTTTGTTGCAATTGGAGGTCGGGAAGGATACTCAATATCTATTTGTTTGAAGAAAATTGTGCTGGCCGAAATTAGCGCTAGAAAACCATCTTACAGTCGGCACGCGCGGCTCACTGTCGATGGCGCACTACCTACTTTTACCTATAGATATGTCATTCTATAATTAGGATTGTTTCTGGGGCTCGCTTGCAATATATATATTCAACATTTTCTTTCCTATTTCCGTACATTTTGTATTTTCCTCGTTCGTGGTAATTAGTTTTTATTAGCACAATGAGCAAACGATCACGTACCGAAATAGAAGTTCAATTTCTTAGCGACTGTGTATACTCTGCGTTAGTCAAATCTGGATACTCAAAGCTTCCTTTCTGTAAGTACATTTTGGCATATTTGGTATTGACAGAATTTGACGGACGCGTACGGAGCTGTGCACTTTAGTCTAAAGAATAATTTCAGAAAAAATTCACCGAAAAAAAATTACACATAAATCCCTTACTCCTTCGTAAATCTAACCAAGTATGGAATCGACCCTTCATATAACGGGCTAAATTATGGGTTTTGAGATACATCAACACGAAATTCTGAAATTAAGAAAAAGTTCAAACGATTGTCTACAGACCAGTTTTTGAATTTTGTAATTTCGACATTCAAAAGTAAAGTTATGACCCGTCGAAAAATATTGATTTCATCATAAAATACACATAAAATTTCAAACACGCCAATAATTCTGACACCCTGCTGTAGAAGACCATGTGAATCAATTTCCCCATTATTTTGGTTACGTTCGTAATTACTTGGATTCGCGAAATTTTCGTCGAATTATTGGTCAAGCCAAGTGTATCGCCGATAATAAAGAGGTTTTAGATTCTCTTGAGCAGACTTATAGGAGTGATCAAATTCGCATTTCACATGAAAACAGTAGGCCACAAGTAGAAGGCGTCCCTTGTAGTGTTTGTTTTAATATGTCAAACAATGATGGAGGTGATAATTTGAAAAGTAGATGCAACAAAATTTTATCCGAATTTGCTAATAACGAGTTAGGTCGTGCAGAAAGAGTTTTAAGGAAATCCATGAATGCATATGCTGGACTTCCTACGAAATTCTTTCTAGCTACGATAAAAGTGTCGAAAATTTCGAAATATCTTTGAGCGAATTAAAAGTGGAATTTGAGCGGTACAAATCGGAACTAACCATCAATGTTGCAAAATTCAATGATCATTTAACCGAGGCTAGTGCGCTTATCCACTATGGCAGTGGTCTTTCAGGAAGTCAGGTCGAGAATTTAGACCGTACTATATTTTGCACTGAATTTTCTAAAACAGACATCGAGCAACATCTGTCTAATCTACCAGATTATCGCCACATTAAGTCATCCGATCCAAATATTGAGCTTGGGGACCTGTTTAATGAATACTGTTCGCACGTCCTTACGTACCATTTCGAACCAAGTTTCTTTAAACTGGGTACAAAATATAGTTTAACTGGCCTTAAAGGAGGGAAAAGATTGTCCGATTATGCACAATCTGTCTGCTTAAATTACCTTTTACTTCCGAGAAATCATGGTATTTACAGTGAGTTAAGACCCATACTTGCTGTCCACAGTAATGCTCGGACACGCTACAAGCCCCACCCTCTAGTTGACGATCTTTATATCCCAAGAATTCCTCCAGCTAGTGTTGCTGATGAAAAAGTTGAAATACTAAGAGAACTCCAATCAATTTTGCTGGGGACTCCCCAGATACTACTTTTGTATGAAGGTTGGGATTTGGTTAAATCATGTCCTAAACAGGTAGCAGCTAACTCACGATTAGTTGACCTTATGTCAATTAGAGAACATTCCCTAAGTTTCCAGTCTGGTAATAATTTCTTGAAGGCCAAACCAAAAGAGCATTACCAAAATTTGTCGATTGACGAGGTGAAATGCACCTTAAAGAGTTATAGTTTGATTTGTGAGAGCGACTTCCAAAAATACGACGAAAGTTTTCTTAGAAAAAAACTTGAAGAAGCTGAGTCTACAAGGAGCTTTGCAATGTGGTATGATCACGCCGTTATTTTAAACAGAAGTTACATCCTTTTTGTCGTTTGGCCTTTATACAGCAAGTCCCTTTACCAATCAAATGATCTATGTGAAGGGGATTTACAAAAAGCTGTCGAGCAAATGTACATCCATTACATAGCTATGTCTCCTTCGACAACCAAAAGCGAAGAGGCTTTACAAGAATTTAGAACTAACCAGTTAGCTGCCTTTAAAGTTACAATTAAAACAAACGGAATCGAATTCACGGACAGATTAAAATTTGTGAATGGCGATGCGCCTGTAAGGAGTGTTGAGAATGGTTCAAACAAGAGTGGACCGTATCGTAATCCTACCTTATTAGAATGCTTCCCTATAGATCATTATGAATATTACGAAATTGTAAAATTTGAACACATGACATTCGACAAAACTACAAAACATGCTAATAAAGGTGGGTTCTTCGAAAATCCTGAAAATCGCGGAAAATCGCTACAAGATTTAAAAGATAAACCCGCCTCGGCATTAGAACTAATGAAAATAAGATGGCCACATAAGCGTCTTGATAATATGAATAGCGAACAGATAAAAGAGTTTTTGAAAAATGACTTAGGGGGTATAAGGCGACCCCCTATTCTATTCATGGCTACTCCTGATAAATCACCTGATACAGCTCAGTACCCCTCAGCTTCCTGGTTATATCGTAGAGAAAATCTGACTTTGCCACAACTACGTTCATATTTTGTACAATACAAGGTGATTTTCATTCAGTTTTAAGTCTGTTTAGTAACATTTTAACGTGAATATGACATCACCTGACTATCAGCTCTGTTCTATGCTCATTGAGAACGTTCAAATCAAATTACAACAAAATTGTCATTTTTTCCGATTCTTGGAATATAGTTTAATATTTCATATCCCTTTTTGAATGGTGATTATGTTATTTAAAATAATCTTATCTTAACTTCAGACAGTGTTTCGGAGGGTGACAGTTCCTTCGCTTAAGTACACCAAGACTTCTTTTGAGATGAGGATAAGAATTAGGACCGGTGTCCAGCTTTCCCTGTACGAAAGGTAAGTTATGTTTATTTCTGAGAGCACGTTTCCTTGATGTGTGTAGTGGATTTCACAGGTGTAGTGGATTTTTGTTCCGGGGTAGGTGAGACATGTTTTGGTGGTTTAATAGTTAGTACCTGTCTCAAACCATCAGAAAAACCGGGTTTCGACCTCTTGACCCACTCAGGCAACTCCCAGGGGCCACGCCCATCCCAAAATTACTCAAATCTAGGACAAATCAAGACTGTAAAATTTTACCCCTGTAGTGGATTTTTGTTCCGGGGTAGGTGAGACATGTTTTGGTGGTTTAATAGTTAGCACCTGTCCCAAATGGTGATTATGTTATTTATAATAATGTTATCTTAACTTCAGACAGAAATTCGAAGGGTGACAGTTCCATCTCTTAAATACACCAAAACTTCATTTGAGATGATGATAAGAATTTCATTTTGGACCGGTGTCCGATGGAAGGGAAGTTATGTTTCTCTGTCAGCTTGCCAAATGTTTTTTATCCTTCACTGGTTAATGCAATCGTCAAAAACACGTAAGTATTAATATGATCTTAAATTAAGAATTCTATAACAGACGCGCGCGGCCCTGAATCTTACAGTGCCTCTATGTCAAGGTGACACCCTTTTCCAGCCATTCCATATAAAAGGAGATAGCTTAATTCACATTCTTCTACTGTTCTAGCAAGTTTTTGACTACTTATGATGTATAAAGCAAATAGCGTCAGTTAAGTAAAACAGAAAGCGCGCGCACATACGCGCATATTTTCTTTTTGGTTGTATTGTCGATATTATGTATTATTTATGTCTACCCAAATTTTTTCAGGGAGTCTACTTAAAGATCATGAACATTTTCAACATTCGTCTGAATAAACTGAAGGAACTGTAGCGTAAATATATATGCAAAGACAGAACATTCTAACTTACTCACCGGATTGGATCGAGCTGTTTTGAAATGTGAAACAGATGAGTAACCTATAAATATTTGTTTTATTAGAATTGGTTTAACCCCCCAGTTCCATGGCCAGATATTATGCCAAATTATTAGACGGAGGTCCATTTCCCGTAGATCATCTCCGGAGATGATTCTCCGGCTCCGTCAACTGTATTAGACGGAGATTAAGCTCTGAGCTCTCCGGGAATTTCTCGGAGATTAATTCATACAGAATCATACAGAATCAACAAAATTACCGTAGATGGTCTCCGGTCGTGGAACTGCAAACCGGAGAAATATCAGTAGACGATCTCCGTCTAATAATTTGGCATAATATCCGGCCGTGGAACTGGGGTGTAAGGAATTGCTTTCTTATGATTTAAATTATTTATAGCGTTGTAGGGCCCTGAAAGTAGATGTTTGGGGCCGTTCACATTACGTAATCGGAGCCCAATCGGAGAGAGAGGCGGTGTTTATATGATAACGTTTGTGTAATTTTAACACAATAACTAACTTGTAACTGTAAAACTGGTCATATAGGGAGTAAGGGGGCTAAAATAGGCTGAAAAGTGATGTCTTAACATATGATCGGAACGACTCTCAGCTGTTTTATTGTAATTGGTGTATCTTGCTCTTATTATTTAAATTTTTAGCGTTGTCATGTAGGCCCTGAAAGCAGATGTTTGGGGCCTCGGGCCATTTACATTACGTAATCATTGAGAAGAGAGAGGCGGTCTTCATATGATGTTTGTTTGTGTAATTTTACGAGCCAGATGTTTTGTGTTTGAGCCAAAAGTTCTAAATATTCTGTTACCAGTGCACAGCAAGTTCATCGAGTGTGAACTTTCAGCACTTAAGATAAGAAATACTGAGCAGCTTGATAGTTACTCATTCAGATGTGAAATCATTGTACATTTGTTTAATCGAAAGACGCTTTCAATTTTGTTCAAAACAGTGTTCACTTCAATTAAAATTAATGGGATCCACTTGATTATCCCAAAGCAACAAAATGGACAGAAAAGACTATAACAGTTTTGGAAACTACTTCGTAATAAGTGCTGCAGGCGATCGGCAAAATACGTACTCTTATCTTCACGCGCATTTCCAAATATGGTCATGCATGATGACGTCACACGCATAACAACGGGTTTATTTTGCAAAGTTATTTTTCTAGCTTGTTGCGCGCAGCATCAAAAACAGTTTTTCTGTAATAACTTTTTAAAATGAGAAGCCCCAATTTTCCTCCTGGGGAGGTAACGTTATTTTTACAAGACGAACATTTTGCAAAAAACCGGAAGTCGCTATCTTTTTTACTTCCGAAGTTAGGCCCCTAACGGTTAGGTTTCCGGCCTGGGAAATCTCTATTCAATATTCTAATCGCTATCTTGATCTATTTATATATGTATTTCATCCTTATCTCTATTTTATCTTTAAACTCCTCTCCGCCGATCGCCTCCCGTGTGAAACGAGCGCGCCTGCACGCTGCAGTGGCGCGAAAGCACATGGTTAGGTTAAAGCGCGTGTACTGTTGCTGCACAGGCTATAATGTTAACTGACGATGTCAATTCATCGCAGCTCGGCAAGGCACAGTAGCACATTTCACCGAATTAGCGTTGCAAGAAGAATAATCAATAATTGAATGCGCGGCGCGGCACAGTAACGGATCGTGCTACAAGCTATAATATTTATAAACATACTCATTGGACAATGGAGCTATGAGGAATGAAGCTGCCTGCTGCGCGTAGCATGACAGCTACCAAGAATTGCATATTGAAGCGTGTACGCCGACGCATGACAGGCAAGCTCCTGTGTCCTGGTTTCGTGCGCGAAGATCGAAATGCAATTATTCGTGTACCTATCAAGCCAACTGCCAAGTGCCAACAATGTGTTTATTGTTAGAAATGATAATGGACTAACCCGTTTCGGGATACTTCGTAGCAACTAGCAAGCTTGCTGCGCATCGATCTAATAATGCTTCTCGTTGTAAGGCCACCTTGTTTGTCGTTAGATATAGGCAAAATGCACCCAGCACCCCTGTGCCCTGCGGACCTCGCTGAGCTGCTATGCAAAGCGAAAAAGCAAAGACTCAATGGATGGTTATATTAGTGGTTACCCATACCGTAATGGGTGCTACATGCCTAGCATGAAATATTTACTTACTTACTTGCACTTAATTTTTGTATTATATTTATATGTTCATAATCATATAAATTCGGCGGAATGACAGGCTTGAGGCTGAGTAAACTTCGCATCGAAAAATCCAAACGAGTAACATCCGTCAACTAATAGTTATATGTAATAATTGAAAACAAACTTTGCTTGTTTACCTGAAATTAGAATTTTATACAATTAATGTAAGATTGAAGTCGTGTTTTTACCAATTTCCCTACACCATCCGGTAAATTAATTACCCTCAGCCCTTCGTTGTGCCTGTGGGCTGCGCGGTCGTATCGTGGCTTTCGCCACGGTATAGCGGGGGCGAAATGAATTACAAATGAGGATCGCGACGCGTGACTTGTAAGTTTATAACCTACCAGGACGCGCGCCGAGTTGGACTCGTCGACGGTCCTGATTAATATTTGAAGCAAATATTTTACGACTACAAGTATCAGTGATACTATCACCCGTTAAAGAAAGGATTGGAAATTGAACTCGCCGGTATGTCGACAGATGATGCTTGTCTAAATTTTTTCGAAGTAACACGAAAAACTTTCTTTTCGAAGCGAAATGTTTGTGTTACTGGGCGGCGCTCAGCCTGTGCCTTTTCAATGTCATTCCGCAACCCACAACCGTTTATCATTTACGAACGAATAAAAAACAACGTCAATATTTTACATGTCACAGTAAGCTGGCAGTTTACTGGGCCGCGCTCAGCCTGTCATTCCGCCTAATCTCTATTTTACCAACATTAAAGCCTGGGGTCCTCAGGTAAGCTGGCAGTACGGCCCAGTTAATAAATTGTGCATCGCGCCGATCAAGAAAAAAAGCATTATTTGATGCGCTGATCAGTCTTCTAAGACTAATAATATAAAACATCGTTTCTTTTGTCCGTAATTGCCTGTACTGCGTGAAAATTACAAAATAATTACAGCACATTTACAAAATAAGAATAATAAAAAAGGAAACGTGTTTTCTCGTTTATAATTCATAATTATTTTTAGAATAACGCTTTATTGTTAATGCAATCATAGTGGTCAGCTAGTGACATGGCTATGACGCCTTTTTCTTACATGGTTATGACATGGTTATGACATGGTTATGACATGGTTATGACATGGTTATGACATGGTTATTGGTTATGACATGGTTATGACATGGTTATGACATGGTTATTGGCTATGACATGGTTACAACCAAAACTCCTTCAGACCAATTTTGAACCATTATGAGCACTTTCAGGATACAATTCATTTCCGTTCATTTCCGTTCATTTCCGTTCATTTTATGAACCTGGGTCATTTTGTGCGACTTTTGAGGCCTAGTTTATGACACTATCTATCATAGAAAACCGAATTAGGGGTTCCCAGCCCTTACGTAATAAGTCTCAAATTTAAATGACACACATGCGCCACCTATTGATTTACATGATAAACCTGATAGCGCATGTGTGTCAAAAACAAAAGTGACAGACATGTGCTACCAGGTTTATCATGTAAATCAATAGGTGGCGCATGTGTGTCATTTCAATTTGAGACTTATTACGTAAGGGCTGGGAACCCCCAATTCGGTTTTCTATGATAGATATTGTCATAAGCTAGGCCTAGAGGTCATCGAAAGTCGCACAAAATGACCCAGGTTCATAGAATGAACGGAAATGAACGGAAATGAACGTAAATCAATTGTATCCCAAAATTGCTCATAATGGTTCAAAATTGGTCTGAAGAGTTTGGTTGGCCCTAGGACCACCCTATGACATGGTTATGACATGGTTATGACATGGTTATGACATGGTGATAACATGGTTATTGGCTATGACATGGTTACAACCAAAACTCCTTCAGACCAATTTTGAACCATTATGAGCACTTTCAGGATACAATTCATTTCCGTTCATTTCGTTCATTCTATGAACCTGGGTCATTTAGTGCGACTTTCGAGGCTTAGTTTATGACACTATATATCATAGAAAACCGAATTAGGGGTTCCCAGCCCTTACGTAATAAGTCTCAAATTTAAATGACACACATGCGCCACCTATTCATTTACATGATAAACCTGCTAGCGCATGTGTGTCAAAAACAAAAGTGACATGGTTATTACATGGTTATTGGCTATGACATGGTTACAACCAAAACTCCTTCAGACCAATTTTGAACCATTATGAGCACTTTCAGGATACAATTCATTTCCGTTCATTTCCGTTCATTTCCGTTCATTTTATGAACCTGGGTCATTTTGTGCGACTTTTGAGGCCTAGTTTATGACACTATCTATCATAGAAAACCGAATTAGGGGTTCCCAGCCCTTACGTAATAAGTCTCAAATTT